TACCAAATCAACATGCAAAAATCAGTAGCATTTATATGCACCAACAGCAAACAATCTGAAAAAGAAATCAAGAAAGCAATCGCATTTACAATAGCTACCAAAGAATATAAACTATGGAGGAATCAATTTAACCAAAGAAGTGAAAGATCTATAAAAAGAAAACTAAAAAACTGATGAAAGCAATTAAAGAGGACACACACACAAAAAGGAAACATATTCCATGCTTATGGATTAGAATAATTAGGCGGGAAGACCACAAGGTCAGGAGATCGAGACCATCCTGACTAACACGGTGAAAACCCGTCTCTACTAAAAATACAAAAAAAATTAGCCAGGCATGGTGGCGGGCACCTGTAGTCCCAGCTACTCAGGAGGCTGAGGCAGGAGAATGGCGTGAAGCTGGGAGGCGGAGCTTGCAGTGAGCCGAGATCGCGCCGCTGCCCTCCAGCCTCCAGCCTGGGCAACAGAGGGAGAGTCCGTCTCAAAAAAAAAAAAAAAAAAAAAAAAAAAAAAAAAAAAGACAACACTACCTAAAGCAATTTACAGATCAATCCAATCCCTATCAAAATACAAATGGCATTCTCTACGGCAAGGATCCCCAACCCCCGGGCTAGGGAACAATACCCATCTGTAGCCTGTTAGGAACCAGGATGCACAGCAGGAGGTGAGCGGTGGCCAAGTGAGAATAACCGCCTGAGCTCACTTCCTATCAGATCAGTGGTGGTGCCAGATTCTTACAGAGGCTGGAACCCTGTTGTGAACTGCCCATGCAAGGGTTCTAGGGCACTGAGCACCTTACAAGAATCTGATGCCTGATGATCTGAGGTGGAACAGTTTCATCCCCAAACCATCCTCCATCCCTACATTCAGCTCTCTTTTTCTAATGTAAATGTCATGTACGATAGTTTGTTGTTTTGTTTTGTTTTTGTTTTTGTTTGAGACGGAGTCTAGCTCTGTTGCCCAGCCTGGAGTGCAGTGACGCTCTCTCGGCTCACTGCAAGCTCCGCCTCCCGGCTTCGCGCCATTCTCCTGCCTCAGCCTCCAGAGGAGATAGGACTACAGGTGCCCGCCACCACGCCCGGCTAATTTTGTTTTTGTATTTTTAGTGGAAACGGGGTTTCACCGTGTTAGCCAGGATGGTCTTGATCTTCTTGACCTCGTGATCTGCCCGCCTCGGCCTCCCAAAGTGCTGGGATTGCAGGCGTGAATCACCGCGCCCGGCCACGATAGTGACATCAGAACTGTTTTGTAAAGCGAAGTGGGATAGATGTGGCACACACCAGCCACGGTTTCCACCGTCCCCAGAGCGTGGAGAGGCAGCGCCACTGCTCTCAAGGTTAATGACAACTCAGTAAAGCACTGCTCTTATTTTTTGCAGTCTTCAATTTGAGAAAGGCGAGAAATAATGTTTTCAATAAATATGGTTCATACCATTAAAAAAAAAAAAAAATCCCCCCAAGTCCATGGAAAAATTGTCTTCCACAAAAGCGGTCCCAGGTGCCAAAAAGGTTAGGGATTGCTGCTCCAAAGAAATAGAAATAGAAAAAAAATCCTAAAATCTATATGGAACCACAAGAGACCCCAAAGAGCCAAAGCAATCCTGAGCAAAAAGCACAAAGCTGAAGGCATGATGCTACCCAACCTAAAAATCTACTACAAAACTATAGTAACCCAATCAGTATGGTACTGACATAAAAATATACACATAGACCAATGGAACAGAATAGAAAACTCACATATAAATACATGCATTTACAACCAACTCATTCTAGTCAGTACCGAAAGTACAAAGGTGCCAAGAACATACAATGAGGAAAGGACAATCTCTTCAATAAATGATTCTTGAAGAACTGGATAACCCTAAACTGAAGAATGAAACTCAACTCTCTCTCTCACCATATACAAAAATCACATCAAAATGGATTAAAGACTTAAATTAAGACCTCAAACTATGAAGCTACCAGAAGAAAACACTGGGGAAATGTTCCAAGACATTGATCTGGGCAAAAATTTTTTTGTATACGACTTCAAAAGTACAGGCAACAAAAGCAAAAATAGACCAATAGGATTATATCAAACTAAAAAGCTCTGCACAGCAAAGGAAACAATCAACAAAGTGAAGAGACAACCCACAGAATGGAAGAAAATATTTGCAAACTATCCATCTGATAAGGGATTAATAACCAGAATGAATAAAACAAGGAGCTCAAACAACTCAATAGCAAAAAAAACCCACAAATAATCCTATCTTAAAATGGGCAAAGCCATATGTGGTGGTGCTTGCCTGTAGTCCCAGCTACTCAGGAGGCTGAAGCAGGAGGTGTTTTTTTTTTGGGGGGGCGGGGGGGGAATGGAATCTCACTCTATCACCCAGGTTGGAGTGCAGTGGTACAATCTCAGCTCACTGCAACCTCCACCTCTGGGATCCAAGTGATTCTCCTGCCTCAGCCTCCCAAGTAGCTGGGATTACAGTGCTCACCATCATGCCCGGCTAATTTTTTGTATTTTTAGTAGAGATAGGGTTTCACTATGTTGGCCAGGCTGGCCTTGAACTCCTGACCTCGGATGGTCCACCTACTCAGCTTCCCAAAGTGCTGGGATTACAGGCCTCAGTCACTAAGCCCAGCCCCAGGAAGACTGTTTGAGTCCAGTTTGATTCCAGCATGCACAACATAATGAGAACTCATGTCTTAAAAAAAAAAGGAGGCGGGGCAAAAGATCAAAATAGACATTTCTCAAGACATACAAATGGCCAACAGCTATAAGAAAAAATGCTCAACATCACTAATCATCAGAGAAACGCAAATCAAAACTACAACAAGGTATCACCTCATCCCACTTAAAATTTCCTATCAAGAAGACAGGAATTCATAGATGCTGGCAAGGATGCAGAGAAAGAGGAACTCTTATACACAGTTGGTGGGAATGTAAATTAGCACAGCCACTATGGAAAATTGTATGGAGTTTCCTCCAAAAACTAAAAATAGAACTACAATATGATCCAGCAAATTCCACTATTGGGTATGTGTCCAAAAGAAAGGAAATCAATATTATCAAAGAGATATATGCACTCTTATGTTTATTGCAGCACTACTCACAATAGCTAAAATATGGAATCAACCTAAGTGCCCATCAGTGGAGGAATGGGTAAAGAAAATGTGGTATATATACACAATGGAATATTATTCAGCCATAAAAGGAATGAAATTCTGTCATTCTCAGCAACATGGATGAAACTGGAGGTCATTGTGTTAACTGAACTAAGCCAAGCACAGAAAAGACAAATATTACATGTTCTCACTCACATATGGGAGCTAAAAAAGTGGATCTCATGGAGATGGAGGTAGATTGGTGGTTACCAGAGGCCAGGAAAGGTAGTGGGGATGTGAGGATGAAGAGTTTGATTAGTGGACACAACTACAGAAGAAATAAGACCTATGATAGATCAGAAGAGTGATTATAGCTAATGTTAATCTATTGTACATTTCAAAATAGGTAGAAGAGAATAATTCAAATAATGTTCCTAGCATAAAGACAAAATAAATATTAAGGTGATGGATATCCCAATAACTCTGATTTAATATTTATACATTATATACATGTATTAAATTATCACATGTACTCTGAAAATACATACATTTATTACATATCAATATAAAAACCTCATCCATGAAATTCTGTATTATCTTTGCAACTTTCCTGTAAATCTCAATCTATTCTAAAAAAGTTTATGAAAACTCATCTATGGGAATTTAAGGTGGCTAAAGATAGCTGAACACAGTGTAACAGGAAATAAAAACTTTTAAAAAATAGATCAATATGGCCAGGCGCAGTGGCTCATGCCTGTAATCCCAGCACTTTGGGAGGCCAAGGTGGGTGGATCATTTGAGGTCAGGAGTTCGAGACCAGCCTGGCCAACGTGGTGAAACCCCATCTCTACTGAAAATACAAAAATTAGCCTGGCGTGGTGGTAGGCACCTGTAATCTCAGCTACCCGGGAGGCTGAGGCAGGAGAATCGCTTGAACCTGGGAGACAGAGGTTGCCGTGAGCTGATATTGCACCAGTGCACTCCAGCCCGGGCAACAGAGCGAGACTTCGTCTAAAAAAACAAAAAAAGATCAATACATGCATGGAAAAGGAAAAGGGTTGGAAGGGGTAAGACTGATTCTATGTTGAGATGGTAGAGTTACAGTTTAATTCCTCTTTTTTTATTTTCTATAATGGGAGAAAATAATATACATATTACAACTTCTAAAAAGATGTTTAAATAGGGCCTTATGTTAGGCATGGTGGCTCATGCCTACAATCCCAGCACTCTGGCAGGCTGTGGTAAGAGAATCACTTGAGGCCAGTTCAAGACCAGCCTGGACAACATAGTGAGACTCCATCTGTATAAAAAATAATTAGCAAGGAATGGTGGAGCATGCTGGTAGTCCTAGCTATTCAGGAGGCTGAGGTGGGAGGATCAGTTGAGCCCAAGAGGTCAAGACTGTAGTGAGCTATTATCACACCACCACACTCCAGCCCGGGTGACAATAGAGACCCTGTCTATAAACAAACGAAAAAACATAAGGGACTTGTATGTGTAATGAAAGTCTAGTTTTTTCAAACAGGCCATGATACGTCACTATAGGGTTCTAAGCAGGAGTAATAGGGCCAGTTTATATTTTTAAGACTGCTCTGGCAGCAGTGTGGAGGGTGGTGTGGAGGGACAGTTAAGATGAGAAGAGCCCACAGCAACAGTCCAGAAGAACAGAGGATAAATGATGACCATCTGGAACGGAGGGGAAATGACAGAAACAGAAGTAAGAAACTCTTTGGGATATGTAATTGGGGACCTCAGACACCTTCTCAGCTGCTAATGTTGTGTTCTGGGTAAGGCTGCCTATCTTTCAACCTAGACTGGTCAGTCAGTATGTCCCATTGTCTGATGTCTTTAGTGTGAAAAGAAGTCGATTAGGTCCCTAAGATCCCCCCCGATCCACACACACAGTAGGAAGGCATTTTATAAAATCCTTTATTTTATAAGTGGCAATCCTCAACTCCCCACCCAACACATAAACACACATACCCATCTAGTCTTTGTTTTCATCACATTTCCAAAACTGGCCACATGTCAATCTGACTCACACAGAAAATAAACAAGAGGGGCCCATCACATATGCCAAGTTATCAATACTCCTTTCACCATTTCTGCTCAATCTAGAAGACTCAGCTTGGAATTATTTTAACATTTTATGTTATTTGCAATATTATGGAAAAGTAAGTTACCAACATTCACAAGGTGATAAGCTGCAAAGAACAAGTTTGTTTTCCTTTTTAAATTTAGAATCTTGTTTACAACACATTAGCATCATTAACAGAAAAAACAGCCATTTACATAGTAACCCAAAAACCAGCCACTTAAGAAAATAATGTAGTAATCAACCACTACCAGAGAAAATAGGTCCTCTCATTTTATTTTAGTGGTAAGCCCAGCTGTTTTCTGAACTTTGTGAGAGTCTCTGTCCTGAATATGGTAAAGCATTCAAGTAAAAGGTAGGGAGTTATAAGTGTGAGATTCTGAGGGATTCTGCCTCAAAGAAGGTTCAGGAATAGCCACAGTCCTCCAGTTTACTCTAACGTTGAGATGTTCCTGGGATGACCAGCATAGTTTCCTTTTGAGGAGTTTTCACAATTCATCAGCCTCAGGATTCAGGTTTTATAAGACATTCTTCCACATTAAAAAAAAAGACTCTGTCCCATAAAAATAAGTTTCTCATCGCTTCTCCAGCTTCTTGTACTTGGCTTCTGTGAGGGATGAGGGAGAGTTACATCTTTTAAAACTGGCTCTTACAAAGACAGTTTTTAGTTAGCATTTCCAGTCAAGTTAAAAAAAATACGTATTATATTGCTAAAAATCTATTAGCTTCTATCTCATCATCTGTCCAAATATACAGATCATTGATCTGTAAAACTTGGAATAAGAATTCAAGCACAGACACTCAGAATCGAGAGCCTAACACAGGTTCACGAAGTCCTAACCCTGTCAATAGCACCTGCTTAGACAGCTCCATCAGGATGGGGCAGATCTGTCACTTGACCTATCGGGAGCCTTACTTAAAAACTGCCTCTCTCAGCACTGTCCCAGGTGCCCTCTGGAACCAGACTGGAACCCTCAGGAAGTATAAATGTACGTTTCCTCTTTTATGTTCTTATCCTTACACCTTACTCCAGGAAAGCAATTTTGAAAGATACAGAGATTTAAAAGGCCATCAAATAAGCCTCTTACTGTGACATCCCATTTTTCTATTAAAACCATGAAAGCACCTGGTTTCACAATTTTAACAGAAAAAGGGACTCTGTCACAAATGGTTACTGTGAACCAAGATATCTTCTACATGGTAAGGTTACCCCTGCCTTGTACACAGTAAGGTTCACAGTAATCATTGGCTAAATGTAACGGTAGAAAATAAAACTGATTGTTAATCACCACCCATATCAAATCCCAGCCTACTACAAACTACTCTCTTGAAGTAGTCAGCCCTTGTTAAATGATGAAAATAAAATAATCTATAAATGTTATCTAGGACAAAAACAAACTCAGGCCAGATGTGATGGCTCAGGCCTGTGATTCCAGCTACTTGAGAGGCTGAGGTGGGAGGACTGCTTGAGGCCATGAGTTTGAGACCAGCCCGGGCAACACAGCAAGGCCTTGTTTCAAGAACAAATTTTTTAAAAGTAGCTGGATGCGAAGGTGCACACCTGTAGTCCCAGCTACTCAGGAGGCTGAGGCAGGAGGATCACTAGAGCCCAGGAGTTCAAGGCTACAGTGAGCTATGATCACGCCACTGCACCCTAGCCTGGGTGACACAGCAAGGCCTCATCTCTTATAAAAACAAAACAAAACAAGACAACAAAAAAAAACAAAAAAACACTAAATTATTTACTTTTAACCATGTATGTAAGAGCCAGAGCCAGTTAGTAAGCCACAAGCACTAAAAGTACCAGTTTCTTCCTCAAAGGAAAAGTGATCTTTCAGAAAATCCTCAACTGACTATTTGTTTAAGACATATTTATCTACATTATTAAAGGTGCTTCTGCCTTCTCAACTATAAATAAGAACTTGAGCTTTGTAAGCAAACAGACCTGCTTAGAAATATGGCTCTTACATGTACTGGCTTTGTGTCCTTAAGCAACTACTCATCCCCTTAAACCAGTTTCCTTGCCTACAAAATAGGGATAAAAATCATGTACTTAAGCCGGACGTGGTGGCTCATGCCTGTAATCCCAGCACTTTGGGAGGCTGAGGCAGGTGTATCACGAGGTCAGGAGTTCAAGACCAGCCTGGCCAACATGGTGAAACCCCGTCTCTACTAAAAATACAAAAAACAAAACAAAACAAAAATCATGTACTCACCTCACAGATTATTGGGAAGATAAAACACACAATACAGGCCAGGTCGAGGTAGGCAGATCACCTGAGCTTGGGAGATCGAGACCAGCCTGACAACATGGAGAAACCCCGTCTCTACTAAAAATACAAAATTAGCCGGGCATGGTGGCGCGCCTGTAATCCCAGCTACTCGGCGGGGCTGAGGCAGGAGAATCGCTTGAACCCAGGAGGTGGAGGTTGCGGTAAGCCGAGATCGCACCATTGCACTCCAGCTTCGGTAACAAGAATGAAACCCGTCTCAAAAAAAACAAAACAAAAAATAAACATAATACAGGTAAAGCACTAAGAACAGTGCCTGATATATCATTAAGTAATCAGGAAATGTTGTTTTTATTAATATAATAATAAATTACTAAGGTTTTGTGAAGATTAATAGATCACTGTAGGCACACCATAAATGTTAACTATTACGTTTACTAAGGACATGCTGGCAAGAGGCACTCTTTATTATATCAAAACAAAAATAAAAACAGTTACCCAGTTTTTTTGAATATGCATCCAACTTGTAAGCTGCCTGCTCAAGAGCTGCTACCTGCTCTTCAATGACATTGATCTGATCCAGATAAGGCTGTAGTCCAGCATCTTTAAAAACAAAGAAAAAACTCATGTTTATATGGTTTTATCAACAAGGAATATAGGAAAAGAGTGGAAAAGTAATAATGCTAGTGTCTCTCCAGCTATGCTAAGACAGATTAGGTGGAATGACATGATTCTGACCACTAGCAAGGCAGGTGCTTTAGAAGACAGTAGCTAGTTGATCAGCCTCAACTGTGGCCCAGACTTAGTGTCTCTCATCTACTAATTTTCCATTCTTTTCTATTTCTTGCTCCTCGAGCAATCTTTCCATTACTGATTCTGTTTCTTGGGTACTCCCATACCAAGAAAGAGTACCCTAGAGACAAGGGAACACAAAAATAATAAATCAATGGAAAAAATATATTCGATTACTCTAAATTAGTGTTTTCCATTATAGAGTTTTTGGTTTTCTGCTTATAGAGTAATCCTTTATGGATTTGTAAATCAGTTCATTAGAATCTGGCCACCCCTCCTTCACCCCCTCCCTTCCAGGAATAAACTGATAAAATCAAGATTTAGAAGCAAAAATAACCATACCAACAAAACATGCTAATCCTCAGAATGGAAGAGATTCATCTTAAATTTGGAATTCATTTTAGAAAACAAGCTCCCACGAGACAAGGATGTCATGTTCCCTCCTCTTCTCCATGGCCCCAAGCACAAAAGAACATTAAATACAAACATGTTTAATTAAAAATATTATTACTTACATTTCTGGTTTAAGTCCTTTAAATTCCTACTAATGTTTATAGCAATATCTTTCATTTCAAGATACTTCAAGCTGGTGAGTTTATTCATATTTTCCAGGAGCTTATAGTCTTCACTGGTGGCTTGAAAATTAAACAGATGTAATACCTTTAAGATTTGTCTTAGATCATTAGAATGTGGGAGTATAGGCTAAGTGGTAGTTCAAGGCAGGACCAAGGAAGTGTCGATGGAGTGGGCCACTTTTGATCTATGATATTTATAACTCAGCCTATGTACTCTGAAAGTCTCAGTAGAAATTCAGGCAACAATCAGAAAATTATTTAAACCAAACAAGATCCAGAAGGTTCAGGATCATGGTTACAAAGGGAAATAATAAACTCATGTCCTAAGAAAAGGGAGGTAAAATAGTCTTGGTACTTCTACAGCATGAAAACATTTAACATACATACATATAATATACATACTATCAGACCAGGCGCGGTGGCTCATGCCTGTAATCCCAGCACTTTGGGAGGCCAAGGTGGGTGACCACGAGGTCAGGAGTTCAACGCCAACCTGGCCAAGATAGTGAAACCCCATCTCTACTAAAAATACAAAAAATTAGCCAGGCGTGGTGGCAGGCACCTGTAATCTCAGCTACTCAGAAGGCTGGGGCAGAGAATTGCCTGAATCCAGGAGGCGACGGTTGCAGTGAGCCAAGATTGCACCACTGCACTCCAGCCTGGGTGAGAGAGTGAGACTCCATCTCAAAAAAAAAAAAAAAAGGCCGGGCGTGGTGGCTCACGCCTGTAATCCCAGCACTTTGGGAGGCCGAGGTGGGCGGCTCACAAGGTCAGGAGATCGAGACCATGGTGAAACCCCGTCTCTACTAAAAATAGAAAAAATTAGCCAGGCGCAGGGGCGGGCGCCTGTAGTCCCAGCTACTCGGGAGGCTGAGGCAGGAGAATGGCGTGAACCCGGGAGGCGGAGCTTGCAGTGAGCCGAGATTGCGCCACTGCACTCCAGCCTGGGCGACAGAGCGAGACTCCGTCTCAAAAAAAAAAAAAAAATGTATATATATATATATATATATATATATGTATACACACACACACACACACACAATCAGCTAGGACCTCACTACTTCTTAGTTAACTCATTTATTACCATGTATAATTCTATATTGCATTTTATGCAGTGACATTTCCAAACCATCTGTCTACTTCTCATATCCTCAGTTCTTTCCCTATCCCCATTCAAAGCAAATGGCCTCTACTCTAACTTTCCCAAAGGCCAAGTCTATTAACATAAGCTGCATCAACCTCTCTGCCTTACTTCTTTTGTTTTTTGTTTTTCTCTCTGCCTTACTTCTAAACTTCTCTGGATCTTAATATCTTCCCAAGAGGCAGAAGTGTTCCTATTCTTGCCAAGACAACCCCCTCCTCTTGTGGCCTTGATCCCAAACACTTCTACTTCTTCAGGGCCTCTCTTCAATCATCTCCTTTCACTTGCACTTCCAAATTCTCCCTCTCTCCTGGCACCTTCCTCTCTATATAGCAATATATTCAGATTTCCTCCAGCTCAAAAGCACTCTCTCTATTCTGCTACACCTATATCATTTGCTCAGTAAAGCAAAGGAGCTTCACTGCTAAACAATTTGAAAAAGTAGCTGACACTCACTACATCCTCTTCCTTAACATTTACTTGCATATACCCTTGCAGTCTGGTCTTTGGCCCTACCATCCAGAGATTACATGTTCCAAGGTCATCAGTGCCCTGCTAACCACCAAATCTATGGCATTTGCTCAGTTCTTATCCTCTTAAACCTCTCATTGTCTTGGACATTACTGATCTCTTTCTCTTTGAGAAATGCTCATTTCTTTTGGCTGCTATAGCATTGTACTATACCGATTTTCTAATCTCTAACTGCTCTTCTTAGATTTCTATGCCAGATCCTTTCTTATCAGACCCCCTTAACTATCAGCGCTCAACTTTTTCTCAGCTGTAACACGTAACTGATGTTTATGTGGGTAGCACATACCTATGGGTATTCCCAGGATTATGCTAGAAACTAGCATAGTTTAAGAGGAAATATCAATTTACTCTTAAATTCAATAAAGCATGTGTGCAAGTAATAACAATCATAGGAAAAGAACAATTTGCTTAAAATTGATTATATAATAAATCATTTGGAAACCTAGGTACGTTAAGTGTTATTAAAAACAAATTAAGTGCACCATATACACATTCCCTGACATTTTAGCCTAGGCTCTCTTACCTACTTCTAAGCTCTTCCTTGGCAATCTCATCCTGCACAGCCTCCAATCGGACCACTATGAAAGTGACTCTGAAATCTGTTTCTTGTGCTCTGATCAGTCTCTGAGCTCTGGAATCCAATGTATAAGTCACCTGAGTTCCCTAGTTACATCAACAAGCAGTCAACCCAAAACTGAAAATATTTTCACACTAAACATGGTTCCTCTTTCCAGCTATTTTGGCTGATGGCACCACCCAGGCTTAAAACCTCAGATACATTTTGGTCTGCTTCCATCCCTCAGTATCTACTTAATCAAGTCCTATACAGTCCACTTCTGTAATGTTCTTGCACCCATGCTCTCCTTTCCATTCCTTTTACCACCACTCTGCCTCAGATCGTCATTACTTTTCTTTTATTATTATTAGATTACTTGGAGCATGTAACCTCTGGATGGTAGGGGACAAGACAAGACTACAAGGATGGAGTCGTGCTATGTTGCCCAGGCTGGTCTTGAACTACTGGCCTCAAGCAATCCTCCTGCCTCCCAAAGTGCTAGGATTACAGGCATGAGCCACAGTGCCTGGTCCTCTATTGCTTTTCATCTGAATTATTGCTCATCTCTCTCTGTTCTCTCTCCCCCATATCTATACTCTCATATTTATACTGCTATCAAATTAGTCTCTCTAAAACAAAGATCACAACTAGGCATTGCACCTCACACCTGTAATCCCAGCACTTTGGGAGGCCAAGGTCGGCGGATCACTTGAGGTGAGGAGTTCGAGTCCAGCCTGGCCAACATGGAGAAACCCCATCTCTACTAAAAGTACTAAAAAATTAGCCAGGCGTGGTAGCATGTGCCTATAATCCCAGCTACTCGGGAGGCTGGGACAGGAAAATTGCTTGAACCGGGGAGACAGAGGTTGCAGTGAGCCAGGATTGTGCCACTGCATTCCAGCCTGGGCAACAAGAGTGAAAACTCCATCTAAATAAAATAAAATAAAACAGGGGTGATGTATTCAAACACCTAGAAGCCACCAAGATAATGTAAATGAGTAAAGTAAGCCAAGTGTTTGCACATTAAATGCATAAGAAAATTATTCACTTCCACGAAGAAATATGCTTCCCCTTACTTCTTGGAATATGTGGTCCTCTTTGCCCATCATTTGCTTTACCAGTTTTGACAGAGGCATTGGTATAGAAAACCATTTCTGTACTGCTACTAATAAAAATAACAGTGATCAATGGCAGTTGACACTAGCTCTCAGTAAAGGGGAGAAAACAGGAAGTGGTAAGGACAAATTAGATAGCACTAGTCCTTTTAAAAGAGGCAGCTGCTCAGCTCTAGTCAATTATAGTTGAAAGAATGCAGGGGGTAGTAGGGCCAAATCTTTGGAATTGTTAAAGGGAAGCCAAAGGTCTACATTTTGTTACCTGGTTTCTCTTGCTCAAAATAACAAACAAATAAATAATCAGGCTGATAACTTAGAGAGTCATAGCTGGGCACAGTGGCTCACACCTGTAATCCCAGCATCTTGGGAAGCTGAGGCGTTAGGATCACTTGAGGCCATTAGTTCAAGACGAGCTTGGGCAAAGGAGCAGACCTCGTCTCTATTATTTATTTATTTAGGACACAGTCTCCCTCCATTGCCCAGGCTGGAGCGCAATGGCACGATCACAGCTCACTATAACCTCCACCTCTCCGGTTCAAGTGATTCTCCCGCGTCAGCCTCCCGAGTAGCTGGGATTATAGGCATGCACCACCACACCTGGCTAATTTTTACATTTTTATAGAGGCAGGGTTTCACCATGTTGACTAGGCTGGTCTGGAACTCCTGACCTCAGGTGATCCACCCACCTCGGCCTCATGAAGTGCTGGATTACAGGTGTGAGCCACCGTGCCTGGTCATATTTTAAAAATAATAATAATAATAAAAGAAAAGTAATGAAGATCTCAGGCAGAGTGGTGGTAAAAGGAATGGAAAGGAGAGCATGGGAGCAAGAACATTACAGAAGTGGAATTTATAGGACTTGTTCAAGTAGATATTGAGAGATGGAAGCAGACTAAGACTGGATACCAGGCTTAAAACCAAAATAGATGGAAAGAGGATCACTTGAGCTCAGGAGTTCAAGACCAGCCCAGGCAATATAGTGAGACCCTGTCTCTTAAAAACAGAAAAAGAAAAAAAATTTACAGATTCACAACCCCTACTATTCTGTATCAAGCCTTTTCTCATAGATTCTCATTCACAAATTTAGCTTACAGTAATTTCCTGGGGGAAGTGAAACAATTTAATAAATGTTTTTGAGATGCTGTACTGGCCCAGACTTCACTTTCTTTCTCTTTTTTCTTTTTTTTTTTTTTTTTTTTTGAGATGGAGTCTCACTCTGTCACACAGGCTGGAATGCAAGTGGCATGATCTCAGTTCACTGCAACCTGCAACCTCCACCTCCTGGGTTCAAGCGATTCTCCTGCCTCAGCCTCCCCAGTAGCTGGGATTACAGGCACCTGCCAACACGGCCAGCTAATTTTTGTACTTTTAGTGGAGACACGATTTCGCCATTTTGCCCAGGCTGGTCTCGAACTCCTGACCTCAAGTGATCCACCAGCGGCTTCCCAAATGCTGGGATTAAAGGTGTGAGCCACCGCGCCCGGTCCATACTTCACTTTCTGATCCTCCTCCACACATAGGTCATGTGTCCACTGGGAAACGATCAAACACTAGTCATGTCCCAAAGGGTGGGTTATCAAATCCTCAGACCAACTTAATAGGTCCCTAAATCTACAGGTCATTCCCTGTTCCTCATTTCCCTTTATCCCAGTAAACACATCTTCTGCTTTAGCCAAACACACTGCTTGCACATACCACGTCATTCACTAGTTGTATCATCTCCCCCTTTTCCACCAACAATTCCCTTCACAACCCTGCTCAAAATACACTTTCCCCAAGGAAGCACTTCTTGATTAATGTTGCTGGATATTAATTTTTTGTTATTGTTTTCTCATTAGTCTATGTTACAGAGGCCTGCAGAGTTGTATTCTCTTTCTCTCCCATTCATGACGTCCCCAAACTTCCAAGAGGCCTGTCTCAGGGCATGCAGGGTAGGAACGGAGCTGTAGACTGATGCTGTTAACCATCTCCCAGGCCTCTCGGGCCAAACCGCACTCGAATCAACCCAGACCCAGTCTCACCCGTCAGTTCCCCAGTCAGGTAAGTGGCCATTTTGGAGAACATGTCCCGGCAGAGCTCAGTGATGTCAGCTTCAGCAGGCTCCTTTGCTTCCTCAGCTGTCTCCACGGCGGCATCGTCTGGGCCAAGGGAGAATGACTAAGTGTCCCGCCTACACCCGGTGCTAATCCAGCCAAAACTGCCTGTTCCGACATCCCTCCACTTGCCTTCATTCCATCAAGTCGGCTCCATTCTCCATCTGCCATAATTTCAAGTCCTTCACGGCGTCCCTGCCCATCTGACACACCAACTCGCCTCCCTCGCACAGCCCCTCGCCGATACCCGGCACCCCTGCTAAACCATCCGTCACCCTGACAGGACAAACACTCGCGCGCAGAGACAAGTGCACTCCTCCCACCAGCCCGTTCCTGCCAGGTGAGCCAACCACACACTAAACCTCGCCCTCCCGAGATGAAGCCCCAGGCCCCCCACCGGGCGCTTCCTCCTCATCCATTCCGGGTACCTCTAGCGGACTCATCACGCCGGGTAGCCAGTACGCCCTCGGCTGCAGCCGCCATGGCTGACCCTGCACTGTTTCCGGGCCCGGGTGCTGCGCATGCGCACTGGGTGTGCCCCGCCCACCCGGGCGGCCCTGCAGTCCTGTGCCTCGCAGTCCAGTCGAGCCTCAGGTCTATGACACAGCAAAGGGTGATTCCGGAGCCGAAACTGAAGCTACGCCAGGCTGTTATGAATCGATCCACTGCCAACAGTCGCGACGTCGGGAATGAGGGCTAGCTTATCCCTACAGTCACACCCTGGAGGGATCACTCGTCTTGTACCACTCATGACCCGTCTGGGAATAGTCAACCCTGTTTGTGGCCTGCTGAACAAAACCACTAAAGACAGGTTGCCCCCTCCCATGACACTCCGCACTGGAGTTAGTCATCAAAAGATGGCTCAGGGAATCCAAAGTTTTACAGGTTGTCTCGTCCACGCTTTGGGGAAACGTTCAGGCATTAATCCCTGGTTCTAAATACTCTCCCTCCCAATGTCCTGGGTTAACACCAACTCACTGGCCCCTATTTCTTAAACTGCAGACAGGCATACTTCTCTTCAGTTGATACAGCCTTTCTTGAAGAAAGCTTGGACTGTAACATTTTTAGAGCTGAGGATACACTCTGGTTATCTTAATTGCATTTAAACTGTTTCACAAGCCTCCTAGGTGTACAGAGTACTTAATGGGATGGGAGAACAGGAGTGAAAGAGGTAGATGAGAAGAAGTGACTGGGGAGCAATCGAAGGTGCAAAATGAGGAGGAATAAAGGCCACAGAAGAAGGGAGAGGAGATATTCAGCAGGCCTCAGGCAGGCTCCTGGACACCCAAAATCTTGGTGTAGGAGTTTCTTATCTTATCCCTGGTTATCCTCCATCTGCACCCTCTCACCCCACCCCAATGCCAGTACACCATATACATACACACACACACCAGCTACCCCTTATCCCCAGCCCTCCTGCCCTGACTGTCTCCACTCTGAGGACTGAGTCTCACTTGTCACCTGTCCTCACTTTTCCCATGGTGCAACCATAGTAGCCACTATTTCAAGCCATTCCTGTGAACCAGCAGTTCTTTTTTTTGAAACAGAGTCTCGCTCTGTCACCCAGGCTGGAGTAAAGTAGCGCAATCTCGGCTTGGCTCACTGCAACCTCCACCTCCCGTTCAAACAATTCTCATGCCTCAGCCTCCCAAGTAGCTGGGATTAGAGGCACGCGCCACCACACCCAGCTAATTTGTTTGTGTTTTTAGTAAAGACAGGGTTTCAGCATTTTGCCCAGGCTTGTCTGGAACTTCTGGCCTCAAGTGATCCACCCATCTCAGCCTCCCAAAGTGTGGAGATTACAAGCATGAGCCACCGTGCTGGGCCTAGAAGTTCTTATTTCAGGACTCCTGTGGTAGCCCAGCTCCTTCACATCACTGCACCTACTCTATACCTCCTAGAGAGCATGAACTATTCCAGCCCAGGCACATGGACGGCCCACAATTTCAGCCTTTTTTCCCTCTATAATACCAGAAGCAAATGCAAACTCGTTTTCCTAAGGAGTTTTATTGATAGCCACCATGGAAACCCACATGGTCTTATGGAAGAATAATGTCAGAACCCACCACATATTAATTCAAAGATCTCTGAATCCTGAGGTCATTTCCTTGCCTGATTCCTTTCAGGCTCCATTTTTATCTCCTGGTTGAAGCCCACTCAGTTTCCAGGTTCAGTGGACCAGGAGGCAGCCTCTTGCAGAAGATCCTTCATAGACTTTGCTCCAGGAGTGCCTCACACTTAATTCCTCTGCAACATTGGAATCTCACCACTTGAGCATCTCCTGTCCTCTAAGGCTTCCTCTCTCTTTTATAGGGAACCTCTATAGGGGAAAACGAGAAACCCATGGGTGCTAGCAACAGATCTCGGGATGCACAAAGGATAAGAATACGATTCACTGGGAAGTAGGAAGACATGTAGATACTGCCTACTCTCTTGGTTTCTACCTTTTTCACAAACCATGGCTATCCAGGTGCTTAGGAAGAGCCATTACCCTCCCTCCCTTTATCCTGTTTGCTAATTTTTTTTTTTTTTTTAAATTAACACACAGAGCTAAGTACACAGGGAGTAAAAGGCCCAGTGGAAGATGTTATTTCACAGAGCTATGTGGCAACACACAGAAACACTGAGTCACAAGCCTAAGCATGATGCCCACCACACACACAAACATTGGCTCAAAAGGCCAGATTTTGGGTAGGGCTCAGCAGCAGCCATGACGGGACCTGTTGTCCTAGAAGTGCAGGGGATGTGGTGAGGGGGCCTGTGGGGAGGCAGAAGGAGGAGAGCCTGCTGTCTGATGCTTTAGGCCCCCTTCCTCACCACTCTCCTGCCCACCCTGGACTCCCCAGGGGTCTGGGGTCACAGCTGGGGCTGGCTGCAGGTGCTTCCAAATAGCTTGTTCCTCCTGTTGGAAGAAGAAAGGGACAAATCATTTGAATAAATAGTTTGTGTACCACTTTTCTTTTCTCTGTATCTGATTCCAGAGAACTCAGACTGCTATAGACTATTTGCATCCCTCCCAAATTCATCTGTTGAAATTGTAACCCCCAATGTGATAGTATTAGGAGGTGGGGCCTTTGGGAGGGGATTAGATAGTGAATATGTAGCACATATGAATGGGCTCATGCCTGTAATCCCAGCATTTTGGGAGGCCGAGGTGGGTGGATCACCTGAGGTCAGAAGTTCAAGACCAGCCTGACCAACATGGAGAAACCCCATCTCTCTAAAAATACAAAATTAGCTGGGTGTGGTGGTGCATGCCTGTAATCCCAGCAACTTGGGAGGCTGAGGCAGGAGAATCACTTGAACCCAGGAGGCGGAGGTTGCAGTGAGCCAAGATCGTGCCATTGCACTCCAGCCTGGCCAACAAGAGCAAAACTCCGTCTCAAAAAATGATAATAAATAAAATAAAATAATAAAAGAGACTTCCCTTACTCCTTCTACCATGAAAGGGCACAGCAAGAAGACAGCTGTCTATGAATCAGGAAGTGGGCCCTCAACAAATACTGAATCTACTGGCATCTTGATCTTAGACTTCCCAGCCTCCCAAACTGTGAGGAACAAACCTGTGTTGCTTATAAGCCACCCGATCTATGATAATGTATTATATCAGCCCAAACAGACTGACACAGACCATCTCAGAGTGGCCAAGGCAGCCCTTAGGCCAGGGCAAGCAACTTCCAGGCCTTATCTCCATGACCCATCTCTGCTGATACACTGACCACTGTAAACATGTTTCCCCAGGAGCCTGAAAACATAGGTCTTTCAAAAATACTCTTGCCCCACCCACTGAGTGGAAAAGATGGCAGAGTTCAGCTGTGAAGAACTAGGAGGACCAGGTGAAGGGCCACTCACCACGCCTGGGGAGGGAACCAGCCACCCCTTCGTCTCCAGCATTTTCAACTTTGAGCCGACAGCATCAACCTGGGACACTACTCCTTCCAGCACAGTCTCCAGCTGCAGAACTCTCCTTGTGAGCCTGTGCGGGATTTGAGAGAGACTAATGGAGCAGAAATCTGTGTCTAGGGACTGAATGTCTAAAGAGGCAGGGTTCACAGAAGGGCTTGTGTCCAGATTGGAACAGGAAGGGAAGACCCAGCCTTGTAGGCAGAATTAAAGGGGAGCAGAGGTTCTCCCTGGGGTAGGACAGAGAATTGGAAAGTTGTGGGAAAAAGTACAAGATAGGGTATCATAATAGAAGTGTTGCCAGCCCTGAACCAGTCCTTGGCTGCACATACATGTAGAATTCTTCTCCTGAAACCCAGCCTCCTGCTTTGGCAGCCTCTGGACCAGACTCGCCTTGTGGGGTGCTCACAACGGATCGGCCTAGTTTCTCAATCTCAGTGTCGAGGGCCACCTGCTCAGGAAGTCAGAGGTTAGAGGGGAGGAGATAACTCTGGGAAGCCATCAGCTCCTGTTCCATCACCCCCTCTACCAGGATCTCAGGATCAAGCCTCAGGTTCTAGTTCTTGCTATTCCCCTTCCCTCCCAGACTCTGGAGACAATAGGGTCAGGGTGGTGGTGCTGGACCAACCTCTGGAGGAGTCACCTCTCAAAGAAAACACAAGATCCTAGAAGCTTTTATGGATGAGGTGTTTACTAGAGGCCAACTCATTTTAGCAGAGGAGGGACACTACCAGTGTTCTTGGCACTTTCTAGACTGCTGTCACCCTGCCTTTGACTTTTTTTGGTCTACATTGGATTGGGATGGAGCAGGCAGAGTAGGGACAGCCAAGAATCCGAGTTTGAAAATTCCCAGAAGAAGGTAAGTCCTCTGAGGGAATTATCAGTGATTCTTGGGCAATTGGTCATTTTTCTCTGAGCCTGTATTTTAGAGCATGGTTCTCAACCTTGGCTATGTACTGTAATCACCTAGAGAGTTTTTAAAAGTACTGATGTCTGGGCCCCACACCCAGAGATTCTGGTTTAATTGGTCTAGAGTGTGTGTCCTGAGTATGAAGATTTTTAAAGGCCCCCCAGGGTATTCTTATGTGCAGCAGTTTGGGAACTACTATTCTAGAGAGATCTTTACTGTCTATGGGAGAGTTTTCAGGTTGGGTTTGTGTTCTAGGTGTGTTGGGGGAAGGGGAGGTTGAGCTATTTCCTTACACTGTCTCTCCACCCATCAACCCAGCTCACCCTCTCTCCCTCCAGGTCCTGTCGCATTTGTTCCTGTTCCTTCTCATCCAGAATACGATTCCCATCTCTGTCAAACTTGGTGAAGGTGGCTGTGAGCTCAGTGATTTCATGCTCTGCGTGTCCCATTCTGAGAAAAGGATGATGAAATGATTTCTGCCCAGCTGTGGCTGTGACCTCTCAGTTATGGAATTCCACTCTTTTGCTTGACTCTGGCAAGAGTTTTGCTTTCTGGAAAAGAAGGTTCTCCAAAGTCTAGCAATCTTACCCCCAAGAAAACACTTGGTTCTATTTCTTCTTCCTCTCCTGACTCCTGCTCACTAGATTCAGGGCCTCATGAGCTTCTACAGGGATTATTGCAAAATCTGTTTGTCTCTAAATAGCCTGCTATCCCCCAGCTTCCCCTTTACTCCCTACCTGTGAAATCCATCGTCCATAATACAACTAAAATAATTAACCTTTCTAATATGCAGGTCTAAAAATGTCCCTTTTTGAAATCCCTTCTGCTACCCTATTCTTTTGGCAGAGTGGTAGTGTGGCCTTTCTCAGTGTGGCCCTTGCCTGTTTCTCTCGTCTCATCTCCTGCTATGACCACCCCCTGTCCCCGCCCCTTGATTTAATACCTTAGCAATGCTCAACTACTTATTCCTCCTGTGTATATTGCTTGGTTTCAGACCTCTATGCTTTCGTATGTGTTTTCATCTCTTCTTGGAACAGCCTTCCTCTGCTTGTCCATCCTCCAGTACCCTATTTAGACATTACCTCTTCCAGGAAGCCTTCCCTTAAGCTCAGAGATAGAATTGATCACCCTCTACTCCTAGTCACTTCTGTTGAACAAAGACTTTGTCCTATTTAATTATGTTGTCTCCTAATCCCAGCACTTTGGGAGGCTGAGGTGGGTGGATCACTTGAGGCCAGAAGTTTGAGACCAGCCTGGCCAACATGGCAAAATCCCATCTCTACTAAAAATACAAAAATTAGCCGGGCGTCCTGGCACATGATTGTAGTCCCAGCTACTCAGGAGGCTGAGGCATGAGAATCGCTTAACCCCAGGGAAGCTGAGGTTGCAGTGAGCCAAGATTGTGCAACTGCACTCCAGCCTGGGCAACAGAGCAAGACTCTGTCTCCAAAAAAACAAAAAAATTAGGTTGTCTATTAGTGCCTGATCTGCAGCTGGTGCTCACAATGTATTTGTTCAATGTGTATTAATATGTTTGACTGGGAATCAGGGAGTGAATGGCTAAAGGAATAGATGAGTGTTCGTGGGGAAGCATAGAACAAAAATCAGAGTTTTGTGGGAGTGGGGTGTGTATTCAATGATTAGGGAATTATTACATGGGTTCCTAAGAGTTGTTCAACAAGATCCAGGATGTTATAGAACATGGTCAGAGATCTTTAAACCAAGGGCACAGTTCTGAAGGTCAGGAGCAGAGACCTACGGGCAAATATCTGAAGCCTGCAAGTCAAGATCAGAGGCCCCTAAACCAAAACCAAAGGCTTATAGGCAAATGAAGTATGGTTGAGGGTTGAGGACTCAAGAGATTGGTATTAGAGAAGGCTGGGTCTCTGGTTGCTCACTCCCTTAAGGTGTTGGTGAAATCCTCAAACTGGATCTCCTGCTCCCCACCCTGCAGGACCTTCTGCACATCCGATACCCTCTCCTTCCTCAGACGCAGTCTTAGCAGGGTCTTGTTGTAGCCCTGAAAGGGAAAGGAAGTAGGCACATGTTCTCACAGGCTGCTCACTCATCCCTGGCCCCCAGCCCCACTCATAGTATGCCAGGCTTCCAAGGATAAATTAAATGCACACAAGGGCACAGGCGCCTCAGTCAGTCAGGAACAGACCAGGACACAGAGCCTTAGACTGCGGCACTGATGGAAATGTGTAGCTCAAGGAGACTGAGCAGTCACCTGTTTCAGGAGGTCAGAAAGTTGCAGCTCATCCTTCTGTCCAGCCAGCTCCTCCTTGACCTCTGAATATGTGTCATTGATGATGGCCAGGAACATGTTCTGGAAAATAAAGTGGGGACCTGGGTCCTCACCTCCAGACCCACTGGAAGGATTGAGCCCACTGATCCCATTAATCCAAGACTCGTGTTCCAAAGGGGTCAGCGCTCTCAATCCCAGCTCGGCAGCCCACCAATCCCTGCCTCTCAGGGTCCCCAGAGCCCAGCCTTTCAGCACAGTTCTGTTAGAGATGGATCATGCTTCTTGACCAACCTGGTGTCCTCACTCTCAGTTGCTGCAGTAGCCTTTCTGACCACAGAGATACCCTAACATATGCCACAGACCTCCTTCGTATAAGGGCCCATCAATCATTGGAACTAGAAGCTTTTCAGGGTGAGAGTACAATTATGATCTCTTTACCATCTACCCCCCAATCCATATCTGTATCCCCATCCATTGATCAAATAAAGAAAAATACCAGCCTTGTTAGTAAGAATAAAATCCAAGAGCTGGGCACAGTGGCCTTCACCTGTAATCCAGCACTTTGGGAGGCTAAGGCAGGCAGATTGCTTGAGTCCAGGAGTTAGAGACCAGCCTGGGCAACATAGCAAAACCCTGTCTCTACAAAAAATACAAAAATTAGCTGGGTGTGGTGGCTCCCGACCATGCCAGTGGTCCTATCTACTCAGGAAGCTAAGGTGGGAGGATAGTTTGAGCTCGGGAGGTGGAGGTTGCAGTGAGCTAAGATTGCACTACTGCACTCCAGCCTGGGTGACAGCGTGAGACCCTGTCTAAAATAAATAAGTAAATTAAAATCCAGATTGTTCCTGGTTGGCAGGGAGAGAGAACTACCAAGCAGTGGCAGTAGAAATCAGCATGAGGTCCCCAGAGGAAGGGGGGTCTTGGAGGACAGTCATAGAAGCTTCCACGTGCAGCTACTACTCTTCATGAGGTACTTTTCTCCCCTTTTCATCCTTGGAGAATGAGGTTTTGATTTTACTGAGGGAGTCTGCAGGTTCCCTTATACTCTGCAAACCTGCAAACTGACCATGCTGGCTATACTACATTAACCATCTCTCAGAAGATCCAGACATCTGCCCCCCCGCCCCCACTCACTCTCCATCCTTGATTTAAGAAACTTATCAATCTTGAGTGAGGGACATACTGGGAGAAAAACTCCACCCTGCAGGCTCTCTATGTCCCCACCCCTCAGAGAGACCCTCACCAGGAGCACGAAGAAGACGAAGAAGACATAGGTGACAAAGTAGGCAGGGCCCAGGATGCGGTTGGCATTGTCGATAGCATTGTAGTCAAAGTCCCCGAGGATTATCCGGAACTGAGTGAAACTGAGAGACCAGGTCTGGGCTTTACCCAGAGCCTAATAAATACCCCCATCCCACTTTCCTAGCCACAGACAGACCCCTCACCACACGTCCACCCCAATCTGATAGACACAGTGCAGGGTGCTTAGATTATTTGAGCACACACACACCAGGGCTTCCGGAGACGCTCGCAGAGATGCTTTAAACGCAGACATGCCCACACGCACATACCCATCTTCCCCAAGGATACATACACCCATGGAGCTGGAGGGTGAGGGGCCAGGGAGGAGTGAAGGAGTGAAGGGGGTAGGACACACACATGCACTTGATGAAAGTGCTAAAGTTTTCCACTTGGGTCCCGAAAAGCAGGTAGCCGAGTTGGGCATAGGCGAAGAAAACAATGAAGAACATGACGGCGAAGCCCAGGATGTCCTTGGCACAGCGGGCCAGCGTGGAGGAGAGCTGGGTCATGGTTTTGTTGAAGCTGATGTACTTGAATATCTGGAAGGACCATGTTGAACCAAGGCATGAAGAAGGAAAAAGGAAAAGTGTTGAAAAGACCACGCCAAGGGCCTATGGAGGCCACAGGAGTTGCCAAGCCAGACAAAGAAAATGAGACACATATTGAAGAAGGGAGAATGACACAAAAATTAGCCAGACGTGGTGGCACACACCTGTAATTCCAGCTACTTGGGAGGCTAAGGCAGAGAATCACTTGAACCTGAGAAGTGGAAGTTGCAGTGAGCTGAGATTGCACCACTGCACTCCAGAGAGACTCTGTCTTAAAAAAAAAAAAAAAAAAAAAAAAAAAAAAAGCCCGGTATGGTGGCTCACTCCTGCAATCCCAGCACTTTGGGAGGCTGAGGCAGGTGGATCGCTCAAGGTCAGGAGTTCAAGATCAGCCTGGCCAACGTGGTGAAACCTCGTCTCTACTAAAAATACAAAAAGTTAGCCAGGTATGGTGGCGCATGCCTGTAATCCCAGCTTCTCAGGAAGCTGAAGCAGGAGAATTGCTTGAACCTGGGAGGCAGAGGTTGTGGTGAGCTGAGATCCTGCCATTGTACTCCAGCCAGACAGCAGAGTGAGACTTCGTCTCAAAAAAAAAAAAAAAAAAAAAAAAAAAAAAAAAAAAATCGGGAGCTGTGGCTCATGCATGTAATCCCAGAACTTTGGGAGGCTGAGGTTGGCAGATCACCTGAGGTCAGGAGTTCGAGACCAGCCTGGCCAATGAGGTGAAACCTCGTCTCTACAAAAAATACACAAATTAGCCAGGCGTGGTGGTAGGCGCCTGTAGTCCCAGATACTCAGAAGGCTGAGGCAGGAGAATCACTTGAACTCAGGAGGCGGAGGTTGCAGTGAGCCGAGATTGTGCCACTTCACTCCAGCCTGGGCAACAGAGCGAGACTCCATCTCAAAAAGAAAAAAAGAAGAAGAAGAAGAAGGGAAAAAGAAGGGAGAATGAGCACTCCTTGAAGCAAAGCTGGGTGTGGGAGTGTCAGGTACCTTGATCCAGGCGAAGAAGAGGTTGACAGCATTCATGTTGTTGTACTGCGTCTGCCAGAAGGCGAGGAACTCAAAGTCTGCATATGTGTTTGGCTGCTGCAGGAGCTTCCCCATGAGCCGATTCACCTCGAGGGTTCGGAATATGTGGAAGCCCACAGCCACAATGGAGAGCTGTCACACAGGGGTCATGGGGGTGTCAGAGAAGGCAAGGGGATCTCAAGGGAAGTTCCAAGATGAGGCCCCAAGGAACAGCCAGGGTAGGTAAGACAGGTGAGAAAAAAGCCTTCCTTGCTGACTTGTTCACTATCTCAGGTTCAAATAGAACTGGGTAGGATGACTGGGGAGCATCTTAAGTGTTCTAAAGCCCAAGAGAAGGGTTTGGGGCCAGTGGTAAATATTAATATATAGATTGTAAAGGGCTGTAGGGAACTGGAACCAGTCATTTCCTTCCGGTCCCACCACTTCCAAGCTTTGGTCAGGAAATGAATGTGTCCTGTTAATAGGAGGGAGATGAAGATGAAGGAGCAGAATATTTGAATAGAAGACAAAAGGCATGGGTTTCCACACAACAGGTCATAAAAGACAAGGAAGGAACAGCGTATAGTACATTAAAAAAAAAAAAAAAAAAAAAGAGCAGGGCTCAGATAACAAGTGAGGAGGAGAGGAGATGTGAGAGACAGGGTTTCCTAAGGGCTGAGAGAGGGTAACATCTCCATCTCACTTAGGGAGCTGTTAAATGATGATTTAACCAAAAGTCAGAAGGAGGGCTTAGGGCTCCAAAAGGAAGAACTTGGAGCCCCTATCAGGGTGGAACCCCCTCCTCCCCCCAGAATGTCCCAAGTCCTAGATATCTGTCCCTCACCAAGATGACCACCAAGTCCAGTATGTTCCAGATGCTGCTGAGGTAGCGAAGTCGGTGAATGTGGAGCTCCAGGATTTCTTCCACCACATAGTAGAAGATGAAGACGCAGAAGACGACCTCACAGCCAACAATAAAGAAGTCCCAGTTGCTGACATAGCGGATCAGCTTGACCGTGCGGATTTGCCAGGATGGGATGGCACCTCCTGTAGCTGGAAACTCCACCACCAGCCTGTGGGGGGAGGGGGAGACATCTAGTAGAGCCTGGGCTGGGACAGCTCCTCCCACTTCCTGTCCTCTCCACCCCCACCACAGGGTACGAGTTTAGAGAAGGGTCTCATGCACAAGAGACGGGAACCAGGAGCCAGGGACAGGGGAATGAAGTAGGGAAAGGGGGCTCACCTCAGGACACAGAAAAGATTGATGTTGGCATTGTAGACTGAGAAGTCGATGAACACCACCCGAGTGCCTCTGTCCAGCCACAGCCCCTCCTGAAGGTCCCGGAGAGCCTCTGCACTACCCTGTCGGGATCCTGGAAGGTCCAGGTAGTAGCCACCTCCACTGTAGCTTGTGAGCCTGCCCCAGTGGGAGGAGCCCCCTAACTCATCCTGCGAGTGGTATGTCCACCTGCCACAGAAAATGCCGGCTGAGCCAGCCCAAAAGTTCATCTCCCAAGGCAATGACAATGCTTTATCATTGTCTGGGCTTTACAGGTTTACATATTGTGGGTATGTGTATATATATGATATGTGATATATACATATATAGTGTATCATTTATTATTCTGTTTGATACTAACAACCATTTGAGAAGGGAGCGTGAATATTATCCACATTTTGCAGAAGAGAAAACTATGAAAGAGGTTACCGAAATAATGCAGCTATGAATGACAGAACTGAAACTCAAATGCAAATCTGATTTTTCACTATGTCACTCAAAGATTTGGATGACAAAGCCAAGCCCCACTTTTGGCCCACCTTGAATAGTCCCCCTAAGGGAAGCACCTGGACCAGAAGGAAAAGCTCCTTCCAGCTCTGTGACTGTACATCAGGCTCCTTCACCCCATGTTTCTCCATTCTATCCACTAAACTTTCTATCCTGAGTGCTTATTTCCTTCTTCCCTAATTCATCATCCATCCTTGACCCCTTGCTGCTCCACGTATCAATCTCAAGCGTTGGGCTTTTCAATTTCACCCATTCTCTATCCCCAACTTCTAGGCAAGAAAGGAAGCTTTCCGTGGAAGAACTGCATGCAAGGTAGGACAAGTGTGATTGCGACCTGTGTGTGGGAACAAGTCTGGAGGCTATGGCTGTGTTTGCTAACCTACCTCCTCTGTTCCTGAGTGACACAGACCAAGGTCCCCAAACAGCCACAGCTGGGATTCAGGGAGATGCCCCCTGAAGTCCCCTGAAGTGCTCTTGAGGCTCTTTAAGCCTCAATGGAAGTGGTTTCCATACCTTGGGATGGTGTCAGGTTTGGAGGGGCAAGCCCTGTGACATTGGTAGGACAGGCTCACTCACGCTGTGCCATTGAGCGGCCCAAAGGGGAGTTGTTCTTCTTTGTCTGGAGAGTAGACATCATAGCAGCTCAGAATGTCCTCCCGGAAGTCTTCATGCACCACGCAGGAGTCATTGCGGACCTTTAGCTGCCGCAGCCTCGGAACCCCCAGCAGCAGGTTCTCATAGTAGATGAAGGAGTGGGAACCATGGCCCAAGCTCTGGTTGTTGTACCATTTGGTCCAATATAAACTGTCCAGTAGTGGGCCCTGGGCAAACTGAACCACAAGCTGGCTTGAACCTTACCCAGCCTCCTCCTGACCCCCTACCCTTAGGATGACCTTTGCACTCATCTTCTGACTCCCCAGCTTGTCTCCAGTCTGCTTTAAAAAAATTATTATTATTATTATTTTAAGGGATGGAGTCTCACTCTGTCACCCAGGCTGGAGTGCAGTGGCACAATCTCGGCTCACTACAACCTCTGCCTCCCGGGTTCAAGCGATTCTCGTGCCTCAGCCTCCCGAGTAGCTGGGATTTCAGGCATGCATCACTACACCCGGCTAATTTTTGTATTTTTAGTAGAGACAGGGTTTCACCATGTTGTCTAGCTGATCTTGAACAACTGACCTCAGGTGATTTGCCTGCTTCAGCCTCCCAAAGTGCTGGGATTACAGGTGTGAGCCATCGTGCCTGGCCTGCTTTTTAAAACTCTTCCATTGACCAATAAACCAGAGTCTGATCTGAAGTGGCCCTGCTCTTTATTTAAAATTCGTTTTGAAGTTCAGCCTTACCTCTGACTCCCGATACTAGTCTAACTCCTGGTTTAATTCCCTGATCGCTGTATTAATCCCTTACCCACCTCCACCTGAACTCTAGCCTAACCCATTAATTCAACCTGGCCCTTTGACTCAGTCTGATCCCTGACTGACCTGATTTCCCAGCATAAGGTCTGATCCATTGTCTAACCTGTGTCCTCAGGCCATTGAGAAAGAGAGGGGAGGGGTAGAAAAGATCTTATACTTACATCCCAGAAGTCTGCCATGCTGCTGATGGCCTGAAAGGAGACTCCAGTGTCTGATGCAGTATGTAAGAAGAGCTCAGACATCACTTTGGTGTAGTAATAAGCACTGGAGCTTGTCATTCCATAGGTCACTGGAAAACAACCCAAGAGGCTATGTCCTTCTCACTGTTCCCCCAGAGGAGACAGGAAAACCCATTGCCCTGGAGCCAGAGATGCTTCCAAGACGGAAGCCCGTCCCCCATCCGGACCCATCCCCTAGACTTGGTTAGGAGCCTAAGGGTGGCATAAGGAAGCCAGGAAATGCATTAGGGAAGGGTTGTAGCTACAGTGTCTCCTCCTCTTCTTCCAACTCACCTCAGAAAGACTGAACTCTGCTCAGTAGTTGTCTCTTACATTGTCATTATGAAAGTACACTTTTCTTTTTCTGAATCAGCTTAGCTTCCCAGCTCTTACTCCCCAGAGCCAAGATATTTCTGCCTTCTGCACTGGGTAGTGATTCCTTTTGTCCTCTTCCAAAAGGTAGTGATACCTTTTGGAAAATGCCCCCAAATTCTAGAGCACTCCCTCTAGAGTTCAAGGCCTTGGCCAAACACCTTACAATAGAGATGTGGTCTCATGGCCCCTGGTGTCAGTGACTGTAGCCATGGGAGTGGCAGGTAGGCACAGCACCTCTGGCCCTGGCATGACTAGTACAATTGGATGGGCACAGTCATCTCCTGAGAGAGCGACTCAGTGTTCCCAGATCAAAAAAGACCTAGGAACAATCACCCTGTGATTCTCCCTGTGCATACATTGTGTGCAAGTTAAATTAAAAAAAGAAAACTGGCCTTTACCCTGAAGAACTTGATCTCCCTCATGCACACTAACACATCCATCCAGTCCCATGTGCTGGTAGGGCTGTAGGGAGTTCTAAGTTTTGTTTACAAAGCAGGATTCTAAAAGTATAAGCCATTTATTTAATATATTGTCCCTTAGTTTAAGATAGTTTAATGTTTTCTCATTTTGTAATTCAGGCTATGCATTTGGGGAGGAATACCATAGAAGTGATACTGTGTCTTTCTCAGGGAATGATATCAAGAACTACATATTGCCTGTTCATCTCATTACTAGTGAGGTTAACTTTGATCTTTTGTTAAGGTGGTGTCTGCCAGTTTCTTCAACATAAAATTACTGTTTTTCTTTCTGTAATTGTATGTATTTTTGTGGGGAGACCCTTTCAAACTGTGTAAATATTCTGTTACTCATCCATCATTCACTTTCACTGAGCATCAATGAATGCTAGCTTTAGCATCCCTTGATGATTTTTGCCTGATTATTACTAATATTGTCAAATGGTGATTTTTTTTTTTTCACTCTTGTTGCCCAGGCTGGAGTGCAATGGCGCGATCTCGGCTCACCGCAACCTCCACCTCCTGGGTTCAAGCAATTCTCCTGCCTCTGCCTCCAAAGTAGCTGGGATTCAGGCATGTGTCACCATACTCGGCTAATTTTGTATTTTTAGTAGAGATGGGGTTTCTCCATGTTGGTCAGGCTGGTCTTCAACTCCTGATCTCAGGTGATCCGCCCACCTTGGCCTCCCAAAGTGCTGGGATTACAGGTGCGAGCCATTGCGCCAGCCTCAAATGGTGATTTTTTAAAAATTCCACAATTCCTTCTCCATTTATTAGTTGACATTTTCTTCAGAAGAGCTTTCCCTTATTCCTAATTCATGTATTCATGTATGTGTGTGTATATATATATGTGTGTGTGTGTATATACACACACACACACATATCAATTTGAACCTATGGATTCTTGGAGGCTTTTTTTCCTATGGGTTATAATTTATTATTTATTTTGTTACTCAAGTTTTTTGGCCAGGTAATAAAAGGCAAAGAAAAACTAAATAATTGTTCCAGGTTTGGCCGGGTGTGGTAGCTCACACTTCTAATCCTAGCACTATAGGTGGTGGAGGTGGGCAGATCACTTGAGCTCAGGAGTTCAAGACTAGCCTGGGCAATATAGCCAAACCCCATCTCTACAAAAAAAAAAAAAAAAAAAAGTAGACGGGCATGGTGTTGCATGCCTGTAGTGCCAGCTACATGGGAGACTGAGACAGGAGGATCACTTAAGCCCAGGAGGCAGAGGTTGCAATGAGCCAAGATCGCACCACTGGGTGACAAAGTTAGACTCTGTCTCAAAAAAAAAAAAAAAAAGACTTATTCCAGGTTAAATGATACTAAAGAAATTTGACTTGATGTAAATGTTCTAAAGTAAATAATAATAATAATAAATTGAAAGCTAATCCTGGACCATAATTTTTTTCCATTTGCTATAAAGGCTGTTAGGGGAATAATTGATGAAATTATAATAAGGTCTGTTCGTTAAATGGTAGTACTGGACTGCTGATAAATTTCTGACTTTGATAAGAGAATATCCTTGTTTTTAGAAAATATGTATTGAAGTATTTAGGAACAAAAGGGCATTATGTCTATAATTTACTCTCAAACGTGTGTGTGTGTGTGTGTGTGTACACGTGTGCACGCTCATATGTGGAGGATGGGGGAAAAAGAATGAGAAAGGAGAAGCATGGTAATATGTTCATATATGGGAAATCTGAGTGAAATGTGTGCAGTGTAGCAATAATTCTTTGTATTTTTCTTGCAAATTTTCTGTAAGTCTATAATTACATCAAACTCTTTTTTTGTTTTTTTTTTTTTATACACAGTTTCACTCTTGTTGCCCAGGCTGGAATACAATGGCATGATCTCGGCTCACCACAACCTCTGCCTCCCAGGTTCAAACGATTCTCCTGCCTCAGCCTCCTGAGTAGCTGGGATTACAGGCATGCACCACCACACCCACACCCAGCTAATTTTATATTTTTAGTAGAGACGGCGTTTCTCCATGTTGGTCTTGAACTCCCGACCTCAGGTGATCTGCCCGCCTCGGCCTCCCAAAGTGCTGGGATTACAGGCATGAGCCACCGCGCCCGGCTACATCAAACATTTTAAAAGTAGAATTTGTCAGCCTCTTGTGAGCAATTCCCTTTAAGAATTTTCCTTTTCAGATCTTGGGCCATATTTTCTCCCATTTCCTCATCTGGAAGGAGAATGATCACGGATTGGTCACTAACATACTTTTTCAGGGGGGAGAAACAGCAAAGAAGGAAACATTATTATTCACATTTCCCCATTCCACACTGTTAAGTCCAAGACATGGCTTTATTTCTAACTCGAATCTGTGATTACTTGTCGTTAGTTATCTGGACTCAGTTTTTCTGGATCTGGAAAATGGGTTCCTGCTGGAAATCAAACTTCTGTGTGCGGAGAGCCCATCACAGTTACAACTGATAGCAAGCTGAACCTTTCCTAATGAAGTAGGTTGGCTAAATTGTCACATCTTCTGAGTAGCCACTAGGTGGTACTCATTGCTATAGCTTTTACTCTTTTCCAGTTCAGAGAATTAACCTTGCTCTGAATGGCCTGTCAACTATCTATGGATGCCTAATATCTTTGATTATTATACAAGGCAGTAAATATTATGTCTTCTGAGAAAAATGGCTTCACCTGGTAAAATGCCTATTGACAGGCAGAAATTGAGTATTCGTTATTTGTAACTTTTTAAATTGAAGTGCATAGGTACAGAAAAGACCAAGAAGCAACCTTAAAAATTTTCTAAATTAGAATCTAAATTGCGTTTAGTACCTGTTCAACACTCTCTCCCCGTACAAACACTCTTTCTCCCTCATTCATTCTTATATCTGTTAATTTTGTACTTCATCCCATGAGATGAGGGGTACTTTCCCACCATCTTATGAAACCCAAACTGAGTATTTCTAATATCCTCGATGTTCATAGTTAGTAACCCATATTATCAGCCTATCAACCTGAATTATTCTAAAAACACATTTTATATTCATTAAACAAACATTATTCAAATTCTACAATGTGTAAAATACCTTGCTAGGTGTCATGGTTTCTTTTATCTTTATCTTTTCTTTTCCTCTTATTTTTTTGAGACAGGGTCTTGCTGTGTTGCCCAGGCTGGAGTGGGGTAGCACTGTCATGGCTCACTGCAGCCTCAACCTTCTGGGGTCTAGTGATCCTCCCATCTCAGCCTCCTGAGTAGCTGGGACCACAAGTGCGTGCCACCACTTCTGACTAATTTTTTTATTTTTTGTAGAGACAAGTTCTCACTATGTTGCCCAGGCTGGTCTTGAATTCCTGGGCTCAAGTTGTCCTCATCCTTTAGCCTCCCAAAGTGTTGGAAACATAGGCATGAGCCAGCATGACCAGCAGTGTCATGGTTTCTATCCTTAAAAAGTTCTATTGAGGAAGACATGTCCCAGAATGAACTTGATGTAGCAGAATGAGCATGAGCACTGGAGTCAGACAGATCTAGGTTCAAATCCCAGCTCTGCCACTTACAATATAGACTTGGGCTCTGAGTCTCAGCTTGCTCATCTGTAAAACTGGGAGTATAATACCACTTAGGCAACTCAACAAGTAGTTGAGTGGGTTCCCAATAAGTGTTTGTTGGCTGAACCAACAGTGAAAAAATTAAAAATAACTATAATACTATAATAAAGGGTAGAAATGAAATAAGTGAATCATTCTTTTTTCTTTTTTTTTTTTTTTTTTGAGATGGAGTCTCACACTGTCACCCAGGCTGGAGTGCAGTGACGTGATCTCAGCTCACTGCAACCTCTGCCTCCCGGGTTCAAGTGATTCTCCTGCCTCAGGCTCCCGAGTAGCTGGGATTACAGGCGCCCGGCACCATACCTAATTTTTTGTATTTTCAGCAGAGATGGGGTTTCACTATGTTGGCCAGGCTGGTCTTGAACTCCTGACCTCGTGATCTGCCTGCCTCATCCTCCCAAAGTGCTGGGATTACAGGCGTGAGCCACTGGGTCAGGGTTTTTTTTTTTTGGTTTGTTTGTTTTGAGACAGAATCTCATTCTGTCACCCAGACTGGAGTGCAGTGGCATGATCTCAGCTTACTGCAACCTCTGCCTCCCAGGTTCAAGCAATTCTCCTGCCTCAGCCTCTCAAGTAGCTAGGATTATAGGCACGCACCACCATGCCCAGTTAATTTTTGTATTTTTAGTAGAGACGGGGTTTCACCATGTTGGCCAGGCTGGTCTCAAACT